CCTCAACCATCTGCATGGTGCCTTCTAGTACTATGAAGGTCATCCATCCAGCGGCATGGAGTTTTTTGACTTAGTCTCAGCTCCATCTCTTCTTCTCCTGTGCTCAGATCATGCAGTGTCTTCAGCACCATGGCCTTACCGACCTTTCTAGTGTACAACTGACATTAATGGCAATAGCCTTGGTGAATTGGAGGACCCCCAATTCAGAGACAACCCACCTCTGATACTGTAGATTTCCTTAACAGTTGATCACAGACAAGGTCTAACATATCATGGAAAAGTTTTATCCATTCGTATTAACTGCTTTCTCCATAGATCCCTGTTAGGTACCATAGCATGGATATGAGGCATTAATTTGGTTAGTTCTTTACTATCTTTAGTTATCTCTTGGGAGTCATTCTGCATTCTAGGGATCTTGTATGGAGTCTCTTTGTATTCTTTTATCTTTGATATACTTACAGGTGTTGGCTCCAGTTGCCTGACCCTGCACCAGGCTAAGGAGGCAGGCGGTTTCTCTTGTCTCTGCTGCACCTGTTGGTTCTCTGAGTCAGGCAGGCCCTGGGTCTGCCTCCTGACTGTAGCCATATCTGCCATTTCTCCATTGACCATACCTGGCTGCTGGGGGAGGCCTTGGTGGGAAAAACTGCCTCCACCCCTAGTTTAGCCTTTATCAGAAGAGAAGTTCACTTTATTTAATCTTTGGGGGTCCTTAACCACCCCGGGACAGTTTTTATCCTTATAATGCCTTTTGTAAACTGTTCTGGTTTTAAAGCCTTCCAGAAACTCTTTAGTACCGAATTTGGTTTCCTATCAATTTTTTCTTTGGGAATTTGGGATCAACATAAGTCTTGACACAGTTGTCTTTGAGTAACCCAAACGGACCATTTCTTCTGTCTGGTCTGTTTTATTTCTCTTGTAGAGTATTCTGTTATTCTACAGACACGTTTTACACATTGGTCAGAGTCACTTAGATCTGCTAAAGCCTCTCTCACTTTACAAAGATCCTGTCCTATTAAAGGGCTTAGCAAAACCGTTAAAGCTCCATACTATTCTCGAGGTCTGGTGAACACAGTCTTATCTGGCCCAGTGAACTGGGTATCATATATTTCTTTTCTCATACCTAGTTCTCTCAGTAATGCCTGTCCCTCATTTATAGTCCTCCAGTTTCTGTTAACCATGGGTGTTTCTCTTGGTGATGACTATGTATCTTTACTGCCTTCCACCAGCCATCCCATTAATAAGGACTGTTCACCCCTGCATTGGCCTAGGGTCTGTATCACAACAGTCTATATCGCAAGGATGGATGGGTGGTTATATAACTCAGTTGTGAAGTTTCTGAAGGACTTAGACTGTCGTTATTTGCTCCCATGTCCCACACCCTCACTAGCCACGTGGTGAGGGGCTCTTTGATTGCTTGCGTGTATGTTTTTCCTAGTTTTAACAGTTCCAGTGTGGAGTATTTCCTAGCTACAGCACCGTTAGCTTTTTTCCTTTTTTGTATCAAAGGTTGACTCTGAGGGGCAGCTTTAGCTACTTTTATTTTTAGGTTGTTTCCTTTTTTATTATTATCTGTCTTTTTTTCTGGAGTCCTTGACCCTTACACAAGTTAAAATGTCCAGTTTTTTTTCTTTCTTTCAAGCTCTGCACCTGGATCTGCCGGCACCTCCCTGGCCTTCTCAGCTTCCCCTGCCTGGGGCACAGCTTTTATTGTGCAAAGTGGCCATGACGACCCCCCCCCCCCCGTTTTCTGCTTGCGTCTAAGGTCTGTAACAGTTTTTCTAGCCTTTCTGTAATCTTTAACAAATTTTCATATACCTGCAGTTGGGCTGTTTCCTCACATTCACAACACCGCTTTGGTCCACGCTTCTGTGTGGCCAGCTCCTTTTTAGTTACATATTTTATAGTCCACTGTGAGACCCACATCAGTGCCACCGTTAGCTCCCTGGCTTTTCCCAAACTCCCACGGTTTGTTTTTTCCAGCACCATCATCCTGCTGGCTTGCGCCAATTTGTCGCCTGAGTTCTCTTAGGATCCCTTATTCCTGGAGCTATTAGACAAACCGTATACCACACCTTTATCTGAATTTTTCGTAGTTCATATATAAGATAGGGGAAATAGAGTTACAAAGGCAAACACCCGGTGCCCAGTTCTGCTCTGTGGCTCAGCGGCCCACCATTCCAGATCGCTTCTGTGCCTCACCCACAGTCTCCATTAGCTTTGGTCCATGCCTCGTGGGCTTGCGGTCTCGCACCAGGTTGGTAAACGCCCCCCCTCGAATCCACCCCGGCAAGACACGGGGGCCATTTTTTTCTGTGCTGCTGCTTCTGTCCAAGATGGTCCCAACACCCCTCCCTCTATGGCTAACTCTCTGCAGCCAATTCTCCACAGCAGGCCCTGCCCCTCGGAGGAAAAAGTACCCCTTGGGACACAGATGGGCATGCAATGACATAGTGAGCCATGGGATGATTTAGTTGTGTGCAGAGAACGGGAGACTGCAGAGTGCTTGTCCCTGCATAGGAAATCTGTATCAAACTTCTGCTTCCCAAGGTTCAGGGATCATCTCGGAAGAGGGGGCAGAAAGATCTTAAGAGCCAGGGGTGGTGGATGATCACAAAGAAACAGTTCTCCAGACATCCTGTCAGTTACACACATGAACTCATAGTAATGGTGACAGTATGCACAAGCTCCATACAAATTCAAACCAGAAAGAATCTCAGCATAGACATGGGGAAGTGGGTAAGAAATCCCAACCCAACCTAAGGAATTTTTGGCAACCAATGGCTTCAGGGAAAGAGAGAGACAATCTCTTTCAAGGATGACTCTTGGTAGGTTAACTAGGTACCAGTGGATGGACCCACACTGAAGGACATCTGGGGACAGAAATTAGACTCTACAGGCCTTATTATATACATAATAGAGTATATTAAATTGGGAAGGAGGCAGTAAAGGGAGGTATAATTAGGGGAGGGGACTAAAGACCATCAAATTATATTGTATGAAAATTATAAAAATTGAAAAAGAAAGAAAGAAAAAAAAGAAACACTGTAGCTATAACAGCTTTAGATGAGCAGTCAGTAAAATACATTCCAGGGGCCAAATGTTCCCTGCTATCCATTTTGATAAAATAACTTTTATTTAAATAGCAATGAACAAACAGGAAGTCAGCATGCCAGGAGGCCAGTGTAAGAAGAAACAAGTACCCACAGAGCATCTAGACTAGTGAGAAGGGGACACCAGGCAGGAGAGGAAGAGACGTGCTTGAGTAAGCCTCCGACTTGTTTTCATCTGACATTTCAGGATAGGCTTGCTGAGGACTTCCTGTTTCCTCCCCTGGCTGTGTCATCTTGACGTTCCCAACACCCTGCTGTAGCTTTGCCCAGGGTAGCCCTGACCTCTGAGTACTTTTGTGCTGGTGGGTTTCCTCTGCAGGTGGAAGGAGTAGATGTGCTTTCCCACTTAGCCACACCCCAACCTAACCTACCACATCTCATCCATGTCTTGTGTGCCTTACATGTAATTATTCCTCAACAAACGCAAACAAGCATTTACATTTAGTTAAGGGAGACCTTGGAACTTTAGCAGTACATGGTGTTATTATGTGACATGTGTTAAATAATTGTGTGCTGGGAAACACCTCTCCATGACAGACATAGAGATGGCTTAAAGGAAAAGGCACAAACATTTTCTAGACTGCAGGGTACCCTGGAGTAGATTACCAGGGAGGGAGGTAACCTCTTGGTCCCTGGAGAGCCTTAAAAATTGGACAGGTCGTGGAAGTTCGAGGTAAGGAGACAGAATGACAATGGTTCTGGCTTTGTCTTTACTTGTCTTGAAGGGGAAGCAGAGGGGAGCCGGCAGAACTACTTCGAGTTCAGAGTGCAGCGACTGTTGCCCTCAGGAGGGAAGCAAGTTGAAGAAGCTTAACCTAGTCTTAGGGACTTAGGCTGCATTCTACTGTTAAGGGATTAAAGTCATAGGTTGTGAAAATCATGAAGATATCTGTAAAAATAAAGTACTTTGATTTTCTGCAGGATTATGAAAAGTCAGCGCCATGATTCTGTGCAATGAAAATAGTTTTTGCATTACTCTGAATAGAGAGAATTGTTCCAATACGTTATATTCAGTAATTCGGTATGTAGCATTTTGGGGGAGGGAAATTAAAATTTCTAAAAGTAGTGTTTTTTTTTTTTTCTTTTTTGGAGACAGGGTCTTCCTGTAGTCACAGCTGGCCTGGATTCACTATGGAAACCAGGCAGGCTGGCCTTGAACTCACAGAGATCCCCCTGCCTCTGCCTTCCAAGTGCTGGGATTAAAGGCATGCACCACCATGCCCGGCTAAAAGTAGTGTTTTAAAGTAGCAAGCATCATCACCAGTTCCTGCCTAGGAAGGGGACTGAGGCCCAAGCAGCAAGTCCTCTCTATCTGTAGCTGTCAGAACTGCACGATGAAGTCAGCAGCTAACGCATGAGCGGGTGTTCCCACAGAGCTCTGCTTTCCTGAGTCAGCCTGATTTTGACCACAGACCTCTTCCCAATTAAAACATAGAGGAACTGGGAGACCAGGAGACTTCTTAAATCTGGGCTGTAAAAAAGGAACTTGGGTGTCATTAAAAAAATAACCTTCAGGCATTTCACTGTAATGTCAACATTCAGCCACATGATGTCACAATTGGATTTCGATTTTCATGTGTTCATCTCAACAGATGAAGGCATTTTCAAAGCTGGAGCAGACAGATCAGAAACAAGGGGAGCGGCCGAAGTCCAGGAAGATGAAGACACTCAGGTTGAGGTTCCGGTGGATCAGGTAATCCCCACACTTCGGAACATGCGTGGAAACCAGGAACCATGGCCTGGTTCCCTATCTTCCACATCAGCCTACTCAGGGGTCAGATGGCCTTCAGTGCACAACCCTGCAGTGAAGTGTAGAGTCCTCTGTAGGAGGGATCGCTGCAGTTCCTCCTACACAGGTTGCCCACTTGGGATAAAGTCTCTTTTTAAATGTGGAAAATGGTGTATCCTTTAAAAATATTTTATGTATTATTTTTTTATGTGTATGAGTGTATTTCCTGCATGTGTATAAGTGTACCCGTGTTGTGCAATGTTCATGGAGGTCAGAAGAGGTCACTGGAGTGCCCTGGAACTGGAGTTATAGGTGGTTGGTAGCTGCCATGTGGGTGCTGGGAATTGAACCTGGGTCCTCTGCAAGAGCAGCCAGTGCTCCAAACTGCTGACCATCTCTCCAGCTCAGAAAATGGTGTATCCTTAAATGGCATTGAAGGGCATGATAGGATGGAGTTAGGTATGAGTTACAAGTGAGGAGAAATTGGATTAAATAGGAGGAGCCTTGGCTGGGAACTTTTAATCTAGGAAAAAATTCCTTTTCTATTGAGTAAAGACAAAAGCCTTTTAAAATTGCTGAGATATTCTCTCCCTCAGGGTCTTTGAAATTTTTGTCGTTGGAATTTGTTACTACTATTTTTTGGTAAAGGAATTGCTCATAAATACAACTCAAATGTTTCCTATGTATGAAGAGATTTTCTTCCTTAGGCCAGGGGAACAGTGTACTTTTGGGAGTGTGTGTGTGAGTGTGTGAATGTGTGTGTTCCAGGAAGTTGTGCTTACTGAAGAAACTAAGTCATGTTAATTGTGGCTCAATAATACAGGAAGTAAGCCACACTGTGTGTGTTCATGTGTGTTTATGTGTTCATGTGTGTTGACGTGTTGGTTAAAGGTAGATGCCAGGTATTTTCTGTGTTGCTCTCCACCTTACTTTTAAGCTATTTACTTATTTATTTAATCTATTTATACTTTATTGTATGAGTGCATTGCCTGCATGTGTGTAGGTGCACCTGTGTCATGCAATACCTGCAGAGGCCAGAAGAGGGCATTAGATCCCCTGGAACTGGCATTATGAATGGTTGTTAGTGTCATGTGGGTGCTGGGAATTGAACCCAGGTCCTCTGCAAGAGCAGCCAGTGCTCTTAACTGCTGAGCCATCTCCTCAGTCCCTCCACCTTACTTTTTTTGAGACAGGGTTTCTCTCTAGACCTGGAGCTCACGGATTTGGCTAGACTAGCTGGTTAGCAAGCCCCAGGGATCTACTTGTCTCTGCCTCCCTAGCATCGAGGTTGAATGTACACCATGCCTGGCTTTTCATGTGGGTTCTGGGGATCTGAACTCAGGTCTTTCTGCTTTTCCTGAAGGCTTTTTCCCACTGAGCTGTCCCCACAGCCCCCTCTCCATGTACATTTTAAAATACAGTCTTTACAGTTCTCTTTGGAGGGTTGGAGTTTAGTCTTGCACTCTGGGGGGAGGGCATGTTATTTCCTTCTGAAGGCAGATCCACAGGGCAGGCGATCTTCCCGTATGGGTTTGTCTTAGCAGAGTGGTGAGATTGATTTTTGATTATTCCAGGGACATTTCCTGCATACAGCGTTTTCCCAGTGAAAAGCCTGATGTGCTAAACTTCACAGATTTAAAAAATCCAATTTATTTTCTGGGATTTGCTCTCGCTGGCAATTTCTCATGAACTTCAGTTATAGTTGTGTTTTCTTCCCCGAGAGAAAACAGAATTTTAAGTCCTCTGTGAGGTCGTAATTATTTTATTTGGAGACAAAGAAGAGTAATCATGTATATACAAAGCTTAATAGCTGTAGAAGTGAAGACTAATTTATGTTTCAAAGTCAAAACATCAAGAGCATACCATAGCATCATCAATAAAGAAATACCTTGTTAATCAATGCCCAAACAACTGTGCAATCTGTGAGGGGCCTTTGCTTGCCTAGATGTTTTGAGGGAAGGTGGGTAGGAGGAGGGCGGGGCTCTGATATCCCAGGACAGCCGTAGATCCACATCTACAGAGTTTGGCACCAGTTTATCAAAATGCAGGCAGGTAGCAGAGACAGAGAGGCAAAGGTGGGCAGAAAGGGAAACAGCATGTGAGAGAGGGGCCAGGTGTTGAGGGTCAGCACTGCTCCCTTCCTGGCTCTGATGGTCACAGTGCTGGACCCTCAGGCCCATTTCTTATCAACTGGGTCTTTAGGGTCAGGTCTCAGTGGCATTTTGTGTCCCAAGTAGCTGTGCTCTAAAGTGTGTCAAACTGAATGAATGTGTGGAGAAATCAGCACAAGGTCCATTAGCTCCTCCACAGTTAGACCAGCTCTGAAGAGGGCATGCCCCCAACATGATCTGCATTAAATAGTAGCCACCTGTTGTCAGGTACAGGCTGCGGGCCAGGCACTGCATAGGCATTATCTCAAATAGCCATGGTTACAACCCTGGAAGACAGGCCTTAGCATCCTCATTTTTTCATGTATACATACATGGACATGTACATATGTAAATATGAAACATGTAAATACCTCTATACAAATACATAAATGCATATACACATACTTACATGTGGCATAGTTGTAGAGGTCAGAGGACAACTTGTAGGAGCTGGCTCTCTCCCGCTACCTTGTGAGTCTTGGGGATTGAACTCAGGTTGTTAGGTTTGGTAGGAGGCACCTTTACCTGATGAGCCATCTTGCTGGCCCTGAGTGTCTTCTCGAAGATGTTTGTATAGTGAATGCCTTGGAGAGCAGAGGCACCGGCCTCCCGTGGACAGTTACCTTCAACCAGAGGCAGCTTTGTCTCCAGAGGGACATTTGGCTATATATGGGGACATGTTTGGTTGTCACAACTTGGGCAGTTTTATTTGCCTCTAGTGGGTAGTGGTCAAGGGTGCCGCTAAGTTCCTGTAATGTATAAGAAAGTCCTCCCAACAAAAAGTAGCTCCAACTGTCAACAGTGATAAGAGGCCAGGTCTGTTTATTGTTCAGAAATAATAAAGGTTGATAGCTCCCCATGGTTCAAAGCTCAGAGGGTTTACTGCCCATCCTAAAAATCTTGATGCCATTGAACCATACACTTAAGACCGAGTAAGATGGTAAATTTTGTTACATATACTTTTCCCCATAATAAAAGTGATGAAAGAAAAGGTTTCAGACCCTCAGCCCTGCAGTTGCTTTTCTGACATGTTAAACCACTGAGGTCATCACTGCTCAGCCCTCTTATGGGAAATGAGGCTTTGGGCCAAGGCTGACACTCTGGCCAGTGCCATTTTGCTTGTGTGGACATACATGTTGAGGGCATGTGTTTGCACGTGCATGTGATGAGTTATTCTGGCTAAGAGGGTCTGAGTTCTGCCCCTAGATCCAGGTTTTTTGTCAGTCAGAAACAAGGTGACTCCTCAGCCCCGTTTGTGTTGCTGTGACCACAACAGCTTCCAGGAACAGCTGAGGGGATTTCAGAGGGTTTCAGAGGGTGGAGTTCATGGCTGGAAACTGGGCGGGCCCAAGCTATAGACTTCCAAGGCTTCTAACAGTGAAGCTCACCCTCCTGAAGGGGCCGTGCCCTTTGTAAAGAGTGTCACCCACTGTGCAGCAGCATTCAAAACATGAACTTCTGGGGACATATCAGAGTTGGACCACAGCAATGATGGGCCTAGCCTGGATTCCAAACTCCTAGGGAAAGCCCAAGGACAAGACAAATGCCTCCTTAGGGGAGAACCTGGGTCTACCAAGGAAGAAGGCAGACTTTTAAAAATCAAATTTTGCCTGCATATTCCAAATCAACCCAGCGCTGGCTGTCATCAGTGGTGTATGTGCCAGATTAACTGATACCTGTATTGGTGACCCATTGAGCCACTGGGAACATGATGCTTTTCCAAGGTCAGGAGGCAGGAAATGAGCCTGCTGCACTGATGTTAAGTAAATTCCCTTTGCTGCTAAGGACCAGGCAAGAAAGGCCCCCATGAAAAGGACACAGGCAAACAAGTAACTGTGAAGTAACCATATGTTCAGAAGACAGGGATAGCCACCCCCAGTTACCACCTGTCACCACGGATGTGTGTAAAGGAGTGAGGGTTTAGATTGTCCTGTGGCGCTTCCCACCAGCACAACCCTGACTTTGAGTAGTAAAATAATGAGAATTTCAGAATGTTTTTATGCTAAGTGGTTTGATTAAATAGCATTGAAACCAACATCATAAATGTTAGAGCAAAGGTTTTTTGGTTGTTTTGACTAGAGGTGTGATATATACTATTTTCTGATATATTTAAAATTATTTGTCAATGAAAGTTATACATATAATTCTTTCAAAAGTCAACCATTTCAACAAGGATTATAACAGCAGCCTCACCCACCCACTCCATCTCTATTTCTGTTCCTGAGGTAACCAATTTGAATTCCTTTATTTCTCATTTTCCTAAAATATACAATACCCATTGCCTAATTTAATACTTCTGAGGTCAAGTCTTATACGTGAGGGCATGTGACATCTTAATTGGAACTTTAAAAATTCTATTTTTAGACATATATATAATTTAGACACATATACATAAAATTATGTTGCCACGTCAAATTTCATAAAACTAATCTTTATTTTTTCCAGTTTTAAAGATTTTCTTTTATTATTTTTAGTTATGCGTGTGTGTGTGTGTGTGTGTGTGTGTGTGTGTGTGTGTGTGTGTGTATGTTATGTGTACATGGAGTGCAGGTGCCTTCAGAAGCTAGAGGCATTGAGTCCCCTGGAGCTGGGATTACAGGAGGTTGTGAGACACCTGATGTGGGTGCTGGAACCATACTCCACTTCAGAGCCTTATGTGCTCTTAGCAGCTGAACCAGTCCCAGTTTTTCCAATTTAGATGTTGTTTACAGACTTTCTATCTAATGACCCTGGGAGATGGGCTTAGTCTCTCAGCCTGTCTCCTCACCACAAACAAGTCCCCACACATAAACACACACCTTTCTGTTCTTCCTA